GCCTCATGAAGAAGAGTCTGAATAAACAGCGCCAAAGCCCAGGACTCAAAGTAAAGAAGCAAACTAAAAGATAGACGGCCATGATGAGGAGAAGCACCCAGAAGGAGGCAGCAGCTGGGAAAACTGGGGAGAGGGAGGCGTTTATTTCTTCCCCTCGGACTGTCCTGAGGGAAAAGTTCTTGACACTGTTTCCCTCAGATGGAGCCAAGATTCGGAAGAGGAGAAGAATTAATAAGCCCAGCCAGAAACACACTAGCAGTTCAGCGGAAGAAAAAGAAAAAGACTTTGACAGAACAGAAATAGAAAGCAGAAACTTAAAAAGGTAAAAAACAGATTGAACTCCATAGAAAAAAAGAGGATAGCCCTATAGAGAGGAACAGTAGAGATATACAGAAATTAAGACCACAGAAATAGAGCAGTCAGCAATACACAGACACATCAGAGACAGAATAGAAGGTAGAAAGAATCAAAAAGTAAAATAAAGCTTCTCCTTAAAATCTAATCAGCGAATAAGGAGAGAGAAGCTACAAGAAAAGGAGCCTGAAAGCAATAAAAATATTTAAAGTGATTGAAAAATGACTTTAAAGGAAACTTTAAAAAATACGAGCTATTTAAGAAATAGAACAGTCGCCCTATAAATAATAATATGAGCTTCCTTGAAGCACCAAAGTTTCTTTTGTACATTGTGTTTAATACAGCATGATTAAATTACCCTTGGACATTTGGATATTGTCATCCACAGTATTTTTATGGAGGGCTTGTCTTTCATAACAATCTAAGTTGTTTAACTCTGATTTTTTGGTTAATGGTACTCGCAGTTAGAATCTTTCTTATTTTTTCAACTAAATTTATATCCAGAGATGATCAGATCCTACTGATTCTTACCACTGCAACATGTTCCCACTGAAAACAAGTAGTTGAAATACTTTGAACAGAAGTTTCTCCAGCTGGCCTTTAAACACCTAAAGTGAGCCCCTTTCCAAATTTGTTTGGTGAGTTGCTTTTCTTTTTTTATTTAGGGGGTGGGGTGGGGGACGACTTTTTCACAAGTTGTTATATTCTTCACTGTGACTGCAAACCATATGGATCTTTTTCCACCTGATACTCCCTGAAGGGCATTATTTTAATACACAATTTTATACTCTCTATATATATTTCACATAATGTATAACATTTAATAGTGTACTCTATCTCACATTATGTTTAAAAATTTAACTTGCAACTTGCTTTTTAAAGAGTACAGCATTCCCCCACCCCATTTTCCTTTAGAAACAATTATCTGTTAGATGCCTGACTGTCTTTGAATAAACAAGCTGTAAATTAGCTTGGTACCAGGCAAAGAAAATTGCCAAGAGAGAGACCCTGAATTTCAAAGAGGAACAAAGAGATAACAAAGACTGACAGGATGTTTCCTTAGTAACGAGAAAATGAAAGTTAAACTCAGATTTACCTCTTTAGGACCCACCTTTACCCCTCCCCTAGACCATCCCAAAAATCCTTTGTATGGGCATGAGAG